TCCAGCAGAAATTGTCGAGTCAATCCAAGAGACCAAGAGCATGAAGAACGATAAGAAAAAGAAACAGAAGAAGGAGGTGCAAGTCTCCATCACCAAGATGTCATTCGTCTTCTATCTGAATGCCAAGAGGTACATCAATGAGTTCAACGAGATTGAACTTTGCGGCTTAGGAATGGTTATTCTTACTGTTGTCACCATAATTGAGATATAACGACATCGACTGTTCTCAGCACCCATGAGGATCGAAAGGGTCGTCAGATCGAGAAAGCTAAGATTGAGATAGTGTTGGGAAAAGCTGAGAAATTTGAGGCCGTCTGGAGTGCGGTGTTGCAATTCTTTGCAAACCAGGCGACAACGACAGTAATGAGCCTCCATTATAAACTTCAATCACTCAAGAAGGGTAGTAATACAATGCGGGTTTACCTTACTCGAATTAAAGAGGTTTGCGATGCTCTTGCCTCATGTGGAAGTTCGATTCCGTCGATAGAGCATGTGGTTAGTATTTTGAAGGGGTTGCCGTGTGAATACCAACCATTTATGGCTGTTATAATTTCCATGAGGGAATCACTTTCCCTGGAAAGCTTATGTATTGTACTTGTTGATGTCGAAACCCAACTTTCTGGGTTTGATACTCAAGTTGAGACACTTTCGATGAGTGCCAATCTTGCTCAAGGAAAAGCGGTTGATCCTAACCATGGTTCGTATGTTCATGCATCCAATCTGTTCGACCAAATGTTTCAATGATGTTGTTGGTATCTGGTTTGTTTCGCATTGTTATAAAATAGATTTTTTTAAGAATTATTTTTAATGTTCATTCACATCAAAAGTTTGTATCGATTCAAGTCCAATGGAATGAAGCATCGCACTTCTGATTCAAGTCGAACGGAAGGAGGCATCGCACTTTGATTCAAGTCGAACGGAATGAGGCATTGCACTTTCGATTCAAGTCGAACGGAAGGAATCATCGTACTTCTGATTCAATTCGAACGGAAGGAGGCATCGCACTTTCGATTCAACTAGAACGGATGGTTTACTAAATCATTGTCCAAATCTTCGTTTGAGCAATTTCGACCCAAAGTGCATGTTTTCTCATTTGCTCAAGGAAAAGGAAAAACGTAGGGAGAATATTGGAGTGTGTAGAATGCTAATGTGTGTATTGAGTGAGCTTTACTCTGTGTGTGTGAGTTGTTATGGTTGTTAAGAATAGTGACGTATGAAGTTTGTTATGGATGTTGTTACAGGTAGTTATGAGATTGAGTAAGCTTGAAGTCATGGCTACTATATAAGCTAGTTGTGTTGTAGTTACAAAGATGGAATAATAATAAAACCATATGCTATTCATTTCTTCTTATTCAACTTCTCAATAGTCAATGACGAAAAACATTGGTTAAAGGGTTGTATTGGGTTCTTTTTTTGAGTTGAAGGGTCATATTGATCCAAAAAGTATGATGAGAGTCACATAGATTTTTTTGGAAAGTTTAAGGACCTCGGGTGCTTTTTCCCTTTAATTTTTAATAAATTTAAATCACGAGATATAGCAGGGTAACAAATTGCCATAAAATTAGGATCACGACAACGTGAACTTACTCAACAAACTGGATCTCTTCCATCGTTAATGAAGTGAAGATTATTTATTTATTTATTTATTTCTAAGGTAATGACGTGAAGATTGAATTTTAGATATTTGGTTCATTTCCCCTTAATCGGTTGTTTGTCGCCAAAATTTATAACGAGCATATTTTTAATTGTCAAATGTTAAATAATTTTAAATGATTAAGATTCATCTATATTTAAAATAAATGTTTTAGTTTTATATTTTTTAAAATCTCCAAATTAATAAAAATAAATAAATAAGATTATCTCATTATTAATTTTTTCAACAATTTTTTTAATTTTTATTGTTAATTTTATTCGTATAATTTCACTCGTCACTCGTCGTTTTTATTCTTGAATTTCTTTACCGTACTAAATAGCAGCAGGGGATAATTGGATATCAAAGTCGATGGTCCGACTACTATTTTGGATATCAAAGAGAGACTTAAAATTACATTTCGAAGTTTGTAGTTTGACTATCTTCTAACAAGAAAGAAAATTCGATTAAGTGAGGTAGAAGAACAACGAAAGACTGCAAATAGAAGAAAGTTGAAAGACGAAAGCTTCTCTATGCATTCTATATAAATAGCTTGGAGAAAAGTCTGAAAATATTAGGGTAAACTACTTCAAATACCACTCACCTTTAGGCTCGGGCTCGTTTATGCCACCAACGTTTTAATTTTGTCAATTTTAACACTAATGTTTAAGTTTAACTGTAATTATGTCACTCTGTCGTTAATGTCTTAACGGCACTATGACATGACATCTCCACGCCGTGACGTTGTTGACGTGGCCCCCTCACCAAAACGACGTCGTTTTGGCATGACTGTGTTGGTGCTAAAAAACCGCAAAATAACTAGTTTTGTTTGAGAAAATTTAGTAAATAATGCATTTGAAGAGATTTGATCTCATATCCTTTTGAAATAAAGGTTATTACTTAACCACTATGCCAACTTAAACTTTTTGATATAATTTTATAAACATAATATACATAACACGAGTCAACATTCCAAAAGTTATTTTCTAAAAAACCCATGAAATTATTAAAATTTCCAAAAAAAAAATTCCTTAAATTCCAAAAAAAATAGGGAGTCAATAACGGAATATATTTGATCAGTTTGATACATTGAACTTGTGTTATTGATTTAATTCCCTATGAAGCATGTTCTAAATACTCATTTGGAGTCAATAATAAAAGTGACATCAATAGTGTTATTTGAGTTTAAAGTATATTAAATAACATGAAAATCTTGAATTTTTTTATGTTGTTTTAATGATTCTAATTTAATTTTAATGTGTTAAATTTATTGGTAAAATATTATAAGTGATTAGGTTTAATTTTCCGGTCATTAGGAGGGTTAATCTCGTGTTTTAAGTCAAAAACAGTGTTGTTTGGAATATGTTTCCTGCCCAATTTTACAAAATGTGCAATTTAGTCCATGAACTGAAATTGTTTAAAATGAGAATTTCTGCTCATTTTATTTTAGAATTTACAGAATGATTTTTAACTTTCATTATATTAGTTTACTGAAAGTTTCAGATTATTATGTAAACTTTATAATTAAGTGGTTAAGAACATTTTTCTAATTAGTGCAATTAAGATCAATATCTTAAAAGTTTATTTTTTGGGTTTATAATCAAATTATATATATTTAAGTGGTTAAAAATATTTGAAATAAGTCAAAATTTATTATGTGCATTAAAAAAGTAAACAATTTGATATTAATAGTTTTCATCATGATTAAATTATCATATTTCGAATATAATATATATTATAATAAAATAAACTATAATGAGTATACTTAATTTAGGATAAACTACTTCAAATTCAACTCATCTTTAGGTTCGGCTTTGTTTATGATTTTTTGGAATTTTTAGGAATTTAAGAGTTTTTTTTTTAGATTTTCTGGAATTTAAAGTGTTTTTTTTGGGAATTTTAATAATTTCATGAGTTTTTTAGAAAGTAACTTTTGGAATGCTGACTTATGTTCTATATATTATATTTATAGAATTAAATCAAAAAATTTAAGTTGACATAGTGGTTAAGTATTAACCTTTATTTCAAAAAGGTTATGAGTTCACATCTCTTCAAATGCATTATTTATTAAATTTTTTAAAACAAAACTACGTCGTTTTGAGGTTTTTTTTAGCATAAACACAACTATACCAAAACGACGTCGTTTTGGTGAGGGAAGCACGTCAACAATGTCACAGCGCGAAGGTGCCATGTCATCATGTCGTTAAGCCATTGACGGCGGAGTGACATAATTGCAGTTAAACTTAAACGTTAGTGTTAAAATTTGTAAAATTGAAACGTTGGTGACATAAACGAGTCTGAGCCTAAAAGTGAGTGGTATTTGAAATAGTTTACCTAAAAAATTATTTAAAAAAATTGTGTAATGCGCGTGAATTCTAGCTCATAGTTTATAGGGTTTAGCATCAAAATCAATAAAATTTAAAACCGATTTGAATTAAATTATGTAGTTTGATTCGGTTTTGTTTTAAAAAATAATTATACAATTTAGTTATATTTCGATCTTTTTCATATTGGAACTACTTGTACCGAATCAAACTGAATTAAAAATCATAGAAGAAAATAAATATCCAAAACAAATTCATTTTTAATTTATTATAAAGACAAATTCAAATAAATAAAATCTTAAAACTAATATTATATTTTTATGAATTTAAATTTATATATTTACACTCGATTTAAGCTTTAAGTATACTTTATTTGAATATTGAGTTTGAAAAATAGTGAAAAGTAAAATATCACAAAATTAAACCGAACCAAACCAAAAACTGTGATTTTTATGTCATTCGATTTTGATTTTTAAAAACCCACAAAATACGGTTCGATTCATATTTTATTGAAAAACTGAACCAAATACACCCCTAATATTTTCAGCTGATTATGTTTGCATCACTTTTTCTAATATTTTGTTCGAAAAATAATTACAAAGAAATTCAGACACTTAAAGAAACAAAGAAAATAATAGCAACAAATATTAACATAACTTGTTGTTGGGTCGTTTTGTTTTCTGTTAGAAACGTGTGCTATGCTTTAGAAAGCATATAGAGATAAGCCGAGAGAGGAAGGAGGAAAATAGTGACGATGCTCACACACATTTTATTAATTAGCTTGTAATATTTTAAACGGGACTAGACAATATATATACAAGTAATTCGTTGATTCAGTTGGTGATCTACGATGTTTCTTTTATTAAAATTGATTATGAAAAACGATTAAAGATATTGTCAAAATCTTTGTTTATAACTTTCTCTGTCATTTTCTTGTTTGAAAATCAAACGCAAAGCTTATTTTCCTTTCAAACGTAAATATTGGTAAAACACAAATATTATACATGGATGAACCTAAATGGCATTCATATACAAGCCCTCTAAATTTTGAGACCCTACGACGGATCATATTCAACACTTATCATTGAACCGGCATTACTTAACCGTCCCACAACAAATGAGAGCTAAAGATGCAATACACGCAACCTACTTTGCATTCATTAAACAGAATACGAAAACATCCCAATGTTACAAAACAACCTGTATACTCCTAACATCTTTCACTTTGTTCTTATTTACCCTTCTTTTATATATGTCCTCACTGCAAATGAATGTTAATTGAAGAAAACAAATTATCAACCTAGGTTACAGTTAAGTAGCATTGTACAAAGTTAAATCCTGCAGTAAAGGATGTTACATGTGGAACGTTTATGTAATAAAATGAAAACTTTTAACACAGTTGATAATTTCCTTCAAACTGCTAATAAACATGGCTTAAACCAGACCAAGAAAAGGACGAAGCCCAACATTGCAAAATCAATTTTTCTTGTCACTTGAGAAAAAAATATTGCTTTCTAAACTTTGATTTAACCTCCTATAAGTCTTATTAAGATCTAAGCCGTAATTTAAGATCAAATAATCAATCAATTACCCATGTATGGGTACCAACTTGAAAGTAAAATCATTTTCGAAATCTTCTCAAAATTGAAAATTAATTCGACAAGATTTAGTTCAAATCAAGATACTAACAAAATTTTAACCATAAAGATAGCTGATGAAGGTTTATAATCAACGGAAGATGGATAATAAGAATCCGCCATGAATGAGCTTGAAAAAATTATTAAAGGTTTGGTATTTTCAGTTTAGACCGTAAAAATTGAATTGTAAAACATCAAAATGAACAAAAATCAACCAAGAAATATATTTGTTACCTCAATTCGGGATTTCCAAGTCTGGCAATGAAGCTCCTCATACCCCTCTCTATTTCCAACTGAAAAAAAAACCGTACAGATTTTGGATCAAAACGTAAACGAAACAAACAAGAAGAGGAAAGAAACAGTGTAAAGGCAATTACATTTTGAATATATATTGCAAATAAATCTATAGATTCCTACAGTTCACAGGAAAGAAATTTCAGATATGCCAAAATAAAAACACGATTTAACATAAGAAAATGACAGATCAATAATAAGAAATTAGAAACTCCAAAGCAAAACTTGACCAAATGCAAAAAACAAATCAAACGAAAAACAAAATCAAATACTGGAAAAAGAAAAACCTAAAAACGGATTGAATATTTAACCTTGTGCGAAGAAAAATAAATAAAGAGGAAGTGTGTTGAGAGATTTCGGGTTTTTTGAGGTGGTTTTCTCAACCGCTGCCTACGTTTGGAGTTCAAAAATTGAAAACAAAGGGTAGAGGAAAGGGAGTTCAATGCGGCGGAAACAAAACAAGTAAAGGAAAGGAATTGATAATTTGTGGCGTTTGTAATTAAAAACGCTATTAATGTACTAAAAACTTGAGGCATTTAATAAAAAAACTAAGGGTGTAGAAAGTTAATTCGACCGGTAAAATTGACTGAAATCGACTCAAGTTAAAATTATTTTTGACATGCGTTGTGACGATATGAAATCGATTCGAGTTGAAATTAGTGTTGACCTGAACCTGAGTTAGACTTGGAAATTGTGGATCTGAACCTGACCTGCACCCGACCTTAGAACGTCATGAACTCAAATTGAACCGAAAATATGGTTCCCGAACTCCAACTGCATCCGACTGATATGAACTCGAACTCGAGATTGACATGGTAAATAACTGATATTACCCGACTTATTTTCAACCTGATCTGTTATGAACCTGACTTGTAATTGACTCAACCTGTAAATGACTTGATTTGTTATTGAAGTGATTTGATATATGTCTACCTTATAAGTTAGAATTTATAAAATTATGAATTTATGATATTATAGTGTTACAAAATACATCTTCATAATTTAAGGTATATAATTAATTATGAACATTAAATATATATATATATTTTTATATTATTTATAAATTTTTATTTTATAAATATATTCAAAAGTTCTATTAAATTAATAAATTGAAATGGATAAAGTAAATACAAAATAATTTTTTTCAAAATTTATAACAAATTATTAATTGAAATTATTAAATTATTAAATTAGATTTTCATATTAATTATGATTATTATATAAAAAAATTATTTATAACCATTAAATTAATTTTATTAAATTGAAAATTAGATTTAATTGTTTGTAACACCTAATTTAGGGGCTAAATTTTAGAAATTTTAAAGTGGTGAATTTAATTGGTATTTTGGAAGAAATTGAGGATTAAATTGTAAAATGTCAAAGTTGGCAGACCATTTTAGGAAGTGCAGGAAATTTAGTGACCAAACTCATATTTTAACCATTTTTCTTTAGGAGATAATTATAATCTCTCTCCCGTATGTTCAGCAGAAATTTTTTCATTTTTTCTCTCCCCAGTTAATGATTTTAAACTCTGATCTACTCACTGTCCGACCACCGTTCAACGAACCAAAACCACCATCGTGTTCGTTATCAAACGATGAACAAAACCCCTCAAACCTCTCGTCGTGAATCGGCGTCGTTCGTCTTTAATTTCATTCAAAAATATCACCAGTTTTAACTCAATTTCTGTTGGTTTTCCGTCGATTCACGTCGATCCGGCCACCCGTTTTCGACACATCCTGCACCATCGTGTTCCTTGCATCGTTTCGAGTCCACCGGTGTCCTCTGTGTCTCCGTTATCGTCGATGCATGGAGGGGTGATGAAGTAAAGTTTTCGATGTTTCGGAATCGAGCTTTACACCATTCAAAATTGTGAACTGAGCTTGGTAATTGTCTCAAAATGCCTTAAAATAATTTTTAAAAAATTTTGGGAAATTTTCGGACACCGTAGCACTGTTCACGCGTCGCCCCTGCGAGTGGGGGAACTTCGAAAACTGTTGGGGCAGTTTGACCCAATTTTGACCCGACCCGTTTGACCCGACCCATTTACCAGACCCAACCCGTTGACTGTTGACCATTGATCGCCATTGACTGTTGACTTTGACCGAAAAAAGTCAAAATTTTTGAAAATCCATATTTTATGTTTTTCGACGTCCTGAGTCTGATTCAGAAGTCTGTTTCATCAAATTCAAACCCGATAAGCTGTTTTCCATGATTTTTCACCCGATTCGATTATTTTTTCGTAATTAAGCTCCACTTTTAATGAAATTTCTGTATATATGTATCCGAGGAATTATTGGAAGTTGCTTTCAAGATGGAGGGCGTTTGAATGGAATTTATATTGCCGATCAGTATGGAACAAAAATCAAGGTAATACATTACTACCTCTTTATGCTTTATGGAACATGTTGATAATGGATAAATGCATGAATGTATATGATTGGTCTATTATGCATGTTTGATTATGGATGGATTTGAACCTAATACGGTTTAAGTGATAAATTAGTTAAGATTCTATTGAATTACAAGTTCTGTGATTAAGTGATAACAGAATTAGTCCTGAATATGTAAATTATAATTTATCTCATTAAAGGTACATGGATGATAAATTATGAGAATACTTCGATTAGGTAAAATTACGAAAATACCCTTATATTGTAAAAAGACAAGATTTGACCATGGAAGATGGATAAGGGGTTTTTAAAGACATATTGATCTAATGAAACTACTGATGTGCATAAGAAATGCTAGTTTTACTTAGGAAATTTGGATAACCAGTTTTTAACCCCAAGAGGATTTATACAAGATACTAGAAGTCTGTTAAGGAATCGTTTCGAGATTAGAGAATGTTCGGGAAAGCATTTAACCATAAGATCTCTAAATTATAGTTATTTTTGTTAAGAGTTAATACTGAAATTATTTGGTTAAGAAATTACAAAAATGCCCTTAAAAGGTAAAAATAGTCTAAGTTGACCCTGAATGAGAAAGTACTATGACGATTCGATTTTAACTCGATAAATTACGGATTTAATTATTAAGATCCTGTCTTTGTACATAAAAATTCATGATAACCTGATTGTAACTTCTAAGAAGGCAATGGACCAGAAAATCTCTGAGTTAAGAATAAATTATCAATGGTGCTCTTTTGACAGAATTGTTCGAAATGACTGAAATAAATGATAAATTTAAATTCAATAATAAAATCGGATGGAAGGAAATGATTGAAGTACACTGGATCTGTAAAATAACCAGAATACCCCTGGAATGGATATGGCCCAAGAATATCACCAAGCTCAGGAATGATTGTATATCCTCGAGCTCTGAAATGAATGGAATAAAACTAAACACCAAAATGACCAAAATACCCTTATGGTTTAAACTAAGTAAATGTTTTGGATTAATTAAGGAATCCAAGTAAATATGAGTGTTGTACTACCCTTAAAAGTTTTGGAACACAACTTAAGTGAGTTGATCAACCTTAATGATATGTCAGTACCTGAACTAAATAGATATTATTGAATGTGTGTTCGTCTACTCAAGTTTGGCTCGATGATAATTTTGGAAGTATTCAGCTCAGCTCAACTCTAGATCGCATTCAATACTAAGAATTGGATATTTGTTCGACAAATCAACCATGAAGACTGAACTGAACTAAACTGAAGTACAATATGTATCTGAAATTTAGAAACGTCTAAATTACTCTGGAAAATCCTGAAGTAACTGGAATGGACTTGAATGCTAAATGAACTAAGTAACCTCAAGGGTTGAGGATTAAGTAAGTGATTGGGATAAGCTTGGAAACTCGGATGAACTTACATGATGTATCATCCCTATGGATTATGAACCATAAATCAAGAACATTGACATTTCCTGGTATAGTTGAAACATGGAAATGAAATAAAGACCATTAAAATATATGTTCGTCTCCTTAAGATCTGTTCAATGATGACTCAGAAGATGATCTATGGACTAGAATATTTGGTATTAAAGAGTAAATACCCTGGAAGGTCAATGAATTGACCAATTAACAAACATCAATTCTGTGAGCTGTTCATCTTGAGTTGTACAATAATCCGATAGATTGACACATACTGTAAATGTCCTGAACCCTTATTTCTTCATTATCAGATCAAATCACATTTTGAATAACTGATGATTCTGTCAGTTAATGAACTTTTCCAATAATGATTCAAACTTCTGACATTCTATAGTTATACTGAAGATCTGTGTTTCTCTACATAATAAGATTATCCAGTACCTCTGAATAATATCTGTAAACACTAGTGTGTTCCCTAATCACATGAATGTTTTATATGATTTCTGACCTAGATTCTGATTTGATACCTGACCTGGATTTTGTTATAATACCTGACCTGAATTATGTTCTGATATGATATTTGACCTGAATTATGTTTTGATTTTTGATATATCCGTTTACGGGCAAAACATGTTTTATTTGGGGGAAGTATACCTGGAGGCTCATCGGCTTTGTGCTCAGGGCCTTACTGGACTTGACGGTGGGTGTATGGTTATGGGGAACCTACACAATTTGGACTTGACGGATGGGGGTAATGTTCATGTTTTTAAAACATGTTACATAAACCAATTTTACTGAAATATTTTATCTATATATTTTCACTGGTTTTACGGGAACACACTAGAAAACCTATTCTGATCTCCTGAACTTAATCATCCGAAATATTTCTCTGAATTGAAAGCTCACTGTCTGTTACCACTTGAAATATCAATAGGATCTCCGCTCAGCTTAAAAAACTGTAAATGTTCGGAACCGATAAGGAAATATATGTTTATCTGTATCTGCACGTTCATCAGCATCATCTGGTAGTTCTGTATTACTGAGCTTTCCGAAGCTCACTCTATTACTCACCATTGCAGGTTAAAAGGAATGTACTAGTGCAGCTATCGACTTCAGTAAGGGAGTTCTTTCGGCGTTGTTTGCAGAGTATGGTACATGTGATTAGGGGGCATGTAATTGTATTTTGTTTTATATCTGAGTCTGAAAAATTTGTTTTATTTCTGTATATTGATAAATCATTTTATGAGTTACATGTTTTGACAAAAGTTTTAAATTTTACTAGATATTTACAGTGGGTTGCTACGATGGCCCTAATGTGACACTCCAGATCGGATCGGGTTAACCACATCAGTCTGAGGGGGTTATATTTAGTGGTATCAGAGCTATGATTGAGTCAAAATTTTCAAGATAGATCGGCCGATCGAATTCCAAAATATGTCTAATCAGTACATGCCCCTAGAATACAATCATACTTCTCTGAGCCGGAACTCCAAGGTTGAGTCCCTATTTGTAATGAGCAAACCTAAGTTTTCATCCGTTAGGACTCTATCGTTTTATAAAGGAATACCAGTAACCTCTGTCTAAATTCTGTAAAGTACCACACGAGCCATGTGAGAGTTACTCATCTGAGAAATTCTAACCTGACTGCGGAAATGA